TCTCAATGTGTGAGTGAGTTATTGCCTGTTGAATGCCGTTACTAACATGTCATGTTAATTTTGTTGCCACACTCAAAATGATTATTTTACGAATTGGAGGGTGGTTTTGTTGTCAGTACATACATCCATCCATCCTGCATACATACATCCATCCATCCAGTACATACCTGCGATACTCAATAAGTACTTCAATGCAGATGTCAGTCCTTTTTCCCTCTTTCGTGTTACGAAAAATGTTTACTACCCAGTGACACTAACCAACGCCATTTCACCGACTCGAAAGCAACTGACATGCTTAAAAGTGGGTCGGGTCCAGGCCTCATCAGAACGCTAATCCAGGCTAACAATTGATATCACAGAATAACCCCTTCATTGGCTGTTGGCAAGGTGAACGGCTCATTAGTCTGCATATCCAGTGTAGACTGACGCAGTGGAACTTATGGGCGGAGATTCATCTCAGCTATCACCTTGTTACAGCACTCCCTACCTACGTTCACAAATGATTCGCACACATGGAGGGTCACTCGCTCTATTCCTGTCAGAGGGAGCCGATTCGGATCGCAAGATCTTTGGGAGGTTTTTCCGCAACAGTTTGGAGCGGGTCGTTGAACTTTTCTAATATTTACTTAATCCTTCTTCTAAGCGCTGTGCCACCATATCGGGCACATAACATGAGGGGGTGTGCCAGGGTCCGATTTTTTGGGCACATAACGTGAGGGGGTGTGCCAGGGTCCGATATTTCGGGCACATAACATGAGGGGGTATGCCAGGGTCCGATATTTCGGGCACATAAAATGAGGGGTATGCCAGGGGCCGATATTGCGGGCACCTAAAATGAGGGGGTATGCCAGGGGCCGATATTTCGGACACATAACATGAGGGGGTATGCCAGGAACCAATATTTCGGTCACATAACAGGAGGGGGTGTGCCAGGGGCCGATATTTTGGGCACATAACATGAGGGGTGTGCCAGGGCCCGATATTTCGCCCAGAAAGCCCCCTAGTGCTTTTTGGCGGTAATACGATGCTATTAAAAAATGAATTTGATCCGAACCTTTTGAAGGGATGAATTTCTGGGATCAGCGCTCATGCTAAGCAGTGCTTGTTGTGTGAGCCCTGACCCCCACCATCCGATCGCACAATTCCAGGCAACGGCAGAAATTAGTGGCCAAAGCTTAACGTGCCGCGATGGTCGGCACGGTCCGTCCTGCCCTCTGGCGTCAACTGACCTTTTAGCGCGACCGCTGCCAGCGGCCGCAAGCCATACCTGCCAAAGGGCAAATAGCGAGCACCCGAAAGCGACTCGAACCCACCCTGCCACGAGTGGGCGGAATTGGAATGCAGGCGCTCTAACCAACTGAGCCACCGGGATGGACGATATGATGATGATGATGGCTGTCTGCCCAGAATTGCTCGCGGTGTGTGACGTTTACAGGAGCAACTGGTGGTTCTGACGAAAAAGACAATGCATTATCGGTCATCGGAATATTTGAAGCATCGTGACCGAGGCCGTTGCATCAAATGGGGAGATTTTTTAACAGCATAAAATGCATCCATATCTTGCTAGACAAATATCCTTCGGTGTTCTGAAAACCGTTTGTGTTGATTTCCTGCCCATATAGTAAAGCCTAGACATCAAGCCGGGTATTGTTGAGTTCCTTCTGACACCACGCTAGAGGCTACCCTCCCGTTCCATCTCGTGCCTCCAGTGTAACTTGGTACAAAATGGTGAGATAAGAAGCCTGCAATCTCCCTCGTCAGTAACAGGGCTGCATATCTCACGCTCAATGAGGCCTATTGCCCATGCCTGGCGTCGAAGAGCTTACCATCCACGCACACAGTTAAAGTGCCGAGGGTCCACAAATAAATGCGATACCATAGCCGTATTTGCGAAGGATTGATGCTCTGACAAGTTATATTTTGCGGTGTGGTTAGAAACATTCGTGTCTTCAGTCAGTGTCTTGAGTTCAAGAATAAACAAGTCTTGTTATTCCTTAAGCATATCAACTTCGGGACTCTTCACACGGTTTATTAGTTAGGTAAAATAAAAATCGTTAAGGGAGCCAAATGACCACTGCAGTCGGCACGCCCGAAAACACCAATCAACAGCAACAATCAACCAAATTCTAAGGTAACAACAGACATCATGGCAACGCTGGGGATCGGTCGATTTCGTTGAGGGCTGGCCATGTCGGTGTCGTTTGGAATAAGACGGGGTTTGATAATAAGCTCAGTATAAGATCACTTATAGTAGACCATGCCCAGGTGAGTAAGCTCTGTAATTTCCCCGTACCAATGTACAGGCACGCGGCGAGGATATCTGAGCCTGTTTTAATGCGTCTGGGCCAGACATGCTAAGGATTCTTAGAAAACCTTTTGAAAATGTTCGCTAAGAGGAGACCTGACGTCATAGCTGCCCGCACAAGCATGGTCATGCTCTTAATCCGCAAATCGCAATACAGCCACCTGGTACATTTTGACAACTTTTATCTTCAATGAC